CTGGCAGTCGCGGCGTGCAGGTCGAGCTCCCTGGCCGCGTGCGCCGTGTAGGTCGTGCTCTCTGGACGGCTCCCCCGCCCCGGCGGAGCCCTAGCCCCGACGCCGTGCGCCTCCAACCGCCGCCCCAGCTCCAGCCCCGATCTGTCGCGGCGAGCCACGTCCCCGAGCCGTCCGCCCCGACTCCGACTCCGGCGAGCCCCGACGCCGTCCGCCCCCCAGTTCGCCTCCAGCAGCCCCGCGGCGTTGTCCTCCCGTGTGCCTCCATCAGCCACACCGCCGTCCGTCGGTCCGTCCGCAGGTGCTAGGCTGGTGCGCCTCCTCTCTCTTCTACTTGCAGCATACTGCCCAATGTTGTCATTCTTGCATTAGCAGAGATCTGGTAAACGGTCCATCGGATTCAGCAAAAACAGCATTGCTAGTGAGGTTTTATTCGAGATAATTGTTTATTTGATTGTACCTCGCATTGATGAGGATTCCTGCAATAATCAGTACCACTCAGAAAATTGAGTAACCCATATGCGTGTTCACGTGCCGGTTAAATTCTACTATTATTATTCAGATTGATCGGGTTACAACATTCATTTGTCCTTTTCAAATATACAATGCTTGATTATGATAATGAATAAGGCATCATAGCTTATTGACTTTTCTGATAACAAGTGTTTCCTTCTTTGCCAAAGTAACTGTTATTCTTCAAGTGATATGTATGACATAAATAGTATGGTAAAGGCATCAATAATTGTTGTTCTTCGAGTGAGTTGGCATATATAGTATGGTAAATGCATTCAAAATTTGTTTTTGCTCTTTGCAGCAGCTAAATCCTTAATTGTACCCTCCTATGATTGTGTCTGATGGATGCTTGTTATTTGAGATTTAAGATATTGGTTGGTTAGGTAAATTTGTTAGCGCTCTTTATTGCAATATATACTTACTGCTTCAGTACACAGGTTTTTTAAGAGCTTTGACTTGGAGATGTTACTGTGATGCAAAGAACATGAATTGGCTCATCTACCATGGATGACAGGTACATTCACCATGCCATAAATTGACACGGCTAACGGTCATCATGCTGTACATTTATCTCGCAAAACTGTGACTTTTCCATGCTATAATTTGAGTGTTTTTTAAACAAGTATTTTTCTAACAGTAGGTAGGTCCAAACTTAATGTTTCAACAACCATTTCCCCTATTGATTTCAGATTGATTGACATTTGTTTACACATCCTAGGTGCCTGTGTGGCTCCAGCCTTCTTCCGTGCCACTTCAATAGGTATGTTTCTCTTGCACACAAGCAGGAAGGTATGTACCTATCTCTTCAAGATTCCACTTCTTCTGGTCCTCTGACCCCCACTTTGAAGTATCATTGTACACAAGGTAGTAGAGAGCCAGTGCAATGTTGATCGATTTGGTTTCAATAAAAATGACAGGTTAATTTTAATTCTAACTTTCTGGAGTATGTACTGCAATCTATTTATCTTCTTTTACAGCTTGCCTTTATCTTTTGCCTGTGAAGTTTTCCCACTTTATGCAAAGCTTGTCCTGCAAAATGTTAGACCCATTTTGACATGTGATAGATACAGTTAACATAGTATAAATTATATGTGTATGCTTGTTTCACATATAGCATCATTCAGATAACATGGAATGTCAGTTAACTAACATGAAGTGTAGTATGATCTCAAGAAGTTAATCAGTTTTTACGTGGTTTTTCCAGAGCAATAGGACTTGTTTGGATTAAATAAATTACTATGCATTGGAACAAGTTTTTGTATATGAACATGTAACTGCTGTCACACATACAGTGTGGGCTGCTCTAACTTGTAAAGTAGTATTTTTTAAAAAAGGAAAGAACATCAAGTTCTGGCTTGCTAGTTGGGAACTGGACATGGTTGAGTATTGGCGTGGCTTCACTCAGTGAAGAAGATCTGAGGCCAAACTAATGCTTTAGAAAATTAAGCACTTGGCCTGCTTGGAGACAATTGTATTTTTCTTTTATATTTCTGAATTTTCATGTATTAGGAAAATCCTTTATGCTATCTCTTGGTACCTGCTGCACATAGGGCTACATAGATGTATGTACTAGTGACCATTTACAATGATTTGTATATGTACCTGTGACCATTTTCTTTCAAAATTGCACTAAATTTCCTAAGTCTGGCAACGTGAACATGTTATGCAATGCATATTGTGAATTTATCATAATTGGCCCATTGAGTAATTTTATAGTTTGGGTACCTTGCTCTTCTGCTATTGTAATCTTTTTCAAGTTATCTTAGATCCAAAATTGTGGCTGTACTAAGAAACGATTTTGTATTGTATATTGTGTTCATTTTGGAATTATAGCACTTCAGTGCAATAATACCCATTGGTGTGACCTGCAGAGCATGTACTGTTACTACAATCAATAATATGCCATAATAGACATCTTTTTTAAAAAATAAGAAAATAGCTTTCCCGAGTGCCCGGGCTGCGGCACTCGGGGACGAGGTTTTTAAAAAAACAAATTTCTTTGCCGAGTGCCACAGCCCAGGCACTCGGGGAAGATGTTTTTTTAAAAAAAAAAACAAAATTTCTTTGCCGAGTGTCTGAGCTACGGCACTCGGCAAAGAGTATTTAAAAAAAAATCAAAAATCTTCCCCGAGTGTTGCACTCGGGGAAGAAAATAAAAAAAAAGAAAAAGAAAACGGCGTCGGCCGTCGGCCAACGGCGTGAAATCTTCCCTGAGTGCCAGCACGGCACTCGGCAAAGCCTTCCCCGAGTGCACGATTTTCGGCACTCGAGGAAGGCGCCTTTCCCGTGAGAGGATTAGCCGGAGGCTCTTCCCCGAGTGTTGCACTCGGGGAAGGCTTCCCCAGTGCAACTGGGCCTTCCCGAGTGCGGTGGCACTGGGAAGGAAGCAGCAGTTCCTCTGTAGTGTTAGTTTCTTGGCGTTGACCTCGAAAATCAACACAGACATAACCGATGACTAGATTGCTCCATTTACGTAGAAGTAACCCGTTCTCATGCCAATTAGCAAAGGGGTAATTCTTCAATACGGCGACCCGTTGTTTTACAAGCAAGAACAATAAGGATAATACTTAATTTCACCTGAGCTTGCAACCTTTTAGGCAAACTAGCAAATCATAATTACCAACTTAGATATGAAACGTAGAAGAAAAATTAAAAAAAACATGACTAATTATATTTGGTTATGTTTGGTTCAGCTGTGAATTGTGGAAATCTGTTGTGGGTCATGAGCTGTAAAAAAAAGCTATTGTGAGGTATGATAAGTTGAAAAGTGTTTGGTCGAAACAACTATCAAATAGACCTTCTCTGTATATCTCCCTTGAAACAACTATAAAACATCTCTCTATTTTCACTTATTTGGAGAAGCAAGCCAAAAGTAAGGTTCAAAGTGCCACAAAAATTGTACTGCATGAAAGCAGTGGCTTCTGAAAAAGTAAATTTAGATTCCACCCGCTTAGCATCCTGCTTTTTGGCAGCACAATCAAACATAGCCTAAGAACAACAATTTACGTTTTGATCCAACCAATAACATGTATTCCCTTCATGCTAGAAAGAATACAGATTTAGCACAATGCGAAGTTAAGCCATATTAAGGGCCTGATTGGGTTCACTTCCAAAATTTATCAAGTCAAAGATTTGGCAAGCCATGATTTTGGCTAGTATTTGGTTTGCTATCAAAACTTGCTGAACTCTCACATTTGGCTTGCCAAATCTATGACAATTTTTTGTCCGACTTGTGGCTACCAAATCTTTTGTATGGCAAATTCTAGTCGCATAAACCAAGAGGACCCTAAATACGACTGTATGTATTGTTGGATTAATCATGAAATATAATTTTATGTTATGTTTGTTTAAAGTCATAAATCTTTGTACTAATCTGTACTCTTGTTGATACGATTATCCTGCTGCTATATACTATGTTACTCGCCCCAACCAAAGTGCAGCGCCAAAAAGCAGCCAATAGATGAACCGGCGACTCGTTGACCATATGACCTGTTATGAGGGTATTTGCCAATGATCAATGGATATGCTTGATTGTTGTTTCTTCTTTACGCTATGGTCTCTTCTTCATTTGTTCAACTTCGATTCATCGAGGGATAACGGTTTTCCGATGTTGCCTAGGACCATAAAGATGTTGGCATAATTGAAACCATTGTTCGTTATATTCCCAAATACTGTAACATAGTAGAGCACTAGAGCTAGAGGGCACTCAAGGCCAGCGGCGGTGTTCCGTCCAGTTGTTGGCCGGGTGCTGAATTGCTGGTGCGGAGTCATCCAGCAAAAAACCCAACACATCTGTGCAAATGTGGTATGTAGTTTCTATTATGCAATTAGATATACACTGTATCAAATCTCTACAACTACAAAATTCCTACGGTCAACATCTACCCGGCAGGAGATAGGTCGTGCGACCCCGTGTCTACCTAACCGAACGGCGAGGGTGGACGAAGGGGCGCAGGGGTAGGGCGTGTAGGCGCGTGCGGCGGGCCACCTGTAGGGTCCGCGGCTCCGCCGCTCTGGGCGGCACAAGGCAGGGTGCAGCCGCGTAGGCGCTAGGGCCGAGGCGGTCGAGGCGCCGAGCGTGAGGCCGCGAGCGCCGGACGGCCGGGCACCACGCCACCACGGGCGAAGCTCCTCCCTCTGCTCGCCCAAATCCCCGCGCCCCTGCGTCTGAATTCGGCTCGTCCTGCCCTGATCCATCCCCTCCTCCGCTTCCCAGCGATGGGCGGCGGCTGTGTCTGCTGCGGTGGCCCCTCCTCCGCTTCCCCCGCCGTCGGTGCCGCCGCGGGCGGCCATTCCCGAGGCTCGCCACATCCTCCTCCACCTCCCCTTCCTCGGCCCCCTCCGAGACGGCGTCCACGTCGGTCGCTAAGACGGTGAACGGCGCCCACCACTTCAAGATTGCGGGCTACTCCCTCTCCAAGGGGATCGGGTGGGGAAGTTCATCGCCTCCGAGTCCTTCAACGCGGGGATGGCGCTGGCTACCTCTCGCTATGTTGGTGAGGCACGGGAAGGTGGGTGAGGAGAAGGTCACCGAGGTCAGGTGGTTCCTCGACTCCAGTGCGGTGCCCGGCGTGCCTGCTGGACCACCCAAGTCGTCGGCTACTGCTAGGAGGGAGTCCTTTGCGAAGAGGGCGGGGTTGGCCACGAACCCCATGGGGAGGAAGCTGTTTGAGGTGAGGGAGGCGAAGCAGAGCAACTTGTGTGTTGCGGCGGATGTTGGGACAGCAAAAGAGCTACTTGAGCTTGCTGACGAGGTATACATGCCATTAGTTCTTGTGTATTTGCGATGCCTTTCTACTATTTGCTAATAGTGTGTTAATTTGTTTGCTCCATTTGTGTTGGTTGGTCCAGAGATTTGAATGTTGAATACTCAGGTTGATATCTTTTCTGATTTTACACCAGATTTTGGGGCCAAGCTTCACACAGTATGTTCTCTTCTGACATCATCTTTCTTATCTTCTCTTTTGTTGTATTACTGATCATCATTCTTTTATTGTGTGTCCATAATAGCCCAGTTGGATTTCAAAAATTGTACTTTGTCTATCACAAATCAGATGTTAGTCCTCATAGTAGAGATGTAGATGCAATATCCTTTTGTGTAATCAAAATGGGTTGTCCATTACTGTAAGGCAAAATTCCTACACCAGGCCAATCTACTTGGTTCTTTAGCAGTGTTAGCACAGGCTAGATAATTTAGTACTAAATTCCTACATTAGGCTCTTCCAGTTAAATATGATATTATCTTCAGTTATCAGTTGTGTTGAATAAATTTTCAGTTCTCCTGTGTCATCCGATGAAAAAAAATGTTGAAAATAATTTTCAGGTACAAAACTAATACTATCCTTCATCCAAGTACCAATTACTGGCCATCTAATTTATCTATGTCTGAGTTGTAGTTTTTTCCTTGCCTGGAGGAACTGATGCTAACCTTCCATTGATTGAGAAACATAAATGCTTGATTATTTTTATTTTTAGATATAGGGTTATTTGTTATTTTTAGAATCTGGCTATTTTTAAGTTTATTATCAGTGCAACTGTGTTTCGTAATTATAGGATATTAATTTCTTACATTGACATATTCTCCTGGTCGCCGGATCAATGATTGGTCTTTACCATCTTTTGTATGACAGAATTGTTCTCTACATTGCTTATATGGCTTGGTGTTAACCCTTTTTTTTGGCATGCGGATGCTGGAGCAATGCCAGTTGCCAAACAAAGTGATTCAGTTATTTTACATCAATTCTGTTTATGCAAGCTGTAAACAGTAATCAGCTACTTAGATGAATGTGGCTAATTTTCTATTGGTGCAGATCAGTCATCTACTGTGCTCTTTCTCGCTTCTTTCGGTCTACTTGCGCTGGTGGCGCACTTGGAAAAAATTCTCTGGAATCGTGCTGCACCTTAGCGCCGTGCAGCACCGATGGCATGCTTGCCACGTACGCGTCTGCACCCACCAGCCGAAGGAACAGAGACGGTTACTCATTGTGGCTCCACGTGGAAGGAACGCGTAGCTAGCTGGTTCAGACTCATATGCATTGAGATTCACGCACAAGGATACATGGATGGCCTGCGCTCGGTGCTTCACGGGCGCCGCGGTACAGCACGACTGCAGAGAATTTTTTCCCCGCACTTGGAGCTTAGGGAGCTGTGGACGATGAAAAGCTCACGCTTGGTTTTCTTGATTCTTGCCGTAATGATCAAGTGATTATCCTAGGACCAGATTAGCTCCCATGATTACAGCTTTGGCTTGATTGATTCATATGACACATCAGAATCTTGAGACAAGTGGGATGAAGGTGATGCAACTGGTGCAGGAGCTTGTTCAGGCCGACACTAGCGGGTACAGCTAAGCTCTTCAATCACCAACAGATGCTTTCATGCTCAGGTTCATTGCTCATCGAGGCTTACCATTTGCTGAATTTTTTTCACGTTCTGGTGTACTTGTAGATGTTCGAGTTGAAGGACTCGGTGTTGACATGGGAAGGAGCAAAAGCCACAAGCCATTGATTAAAACCAAAAATTAGGTGTGTAAATATTTCGCATGAGATTTATGGTACACCGTAGACACCCGTTAGTGAAGAAGGGTTTTGTCGTCAAGAGGCCTAAAATTGATAACCTGACAGATGAACAAATTGGCATGAATTATCCTTGTTGTATTCAACAATATAAGTTTGATCCTTTTTGGATTAAATAACACAATAGCCCTGTAAATTTGTATCGCTCCTTTTTCTATGAATCTTCAATCTATTTTATTTTATACCGCGTTTGGTTGTTAATTTGTGTCACCTAAAATGCCACCGTGGTGTTAGCACGAGCAATATACTATAGATTGTAAAACATGTATTGTGAAACACAAACTTGTTATGATTATCTTTCCGTAGCACTTCATTGCTAAAGAAGTGAAAGCTTATCTTTCACGTATCGTAGGCAAGAAGTGATGCGACAATTGATGTTAATGTTTCAATTTTGCATTCAAATTTAGAGTTATATCGTACATTCATCCCATACATCCAAGCGTTGCATATGCAATTGTTGCATCTCAATGCTTCGCGTCGCGTCACGAAGCGGTAGTCGCCTCATTCGACATGAGCGGCAACTGATCGAGGTTTGAAGGCCAGCCCACGAAAGGCTCGAGGCCGCCTCAGGTCAAACAGAGCCAGGGGAGAAAAACCGAGATGAGCCCCAGCGGCCTTGCCCGACCCCGCTCAGAAGCGGACAGGGACATCTTGACCTTTCTCGTTCGATTCTAACCTCGAGCCAAACCCATAGAATCTCCATCGAGGAGAGGCCAACGGGCCACCCGAGCCTATCGAACGGCTCAGGCATCTGCCGAGAGGCGGGTTAAGAAGTAGTGGAATGCCACATGAGGGCTCTGCCAACCCCGTCAGTGGATGACAGGCCCGAATTACACTCGAACGTGCCCGTTAGCGAGCTCATTGAGCGCAACACTCGAGCTATCGAGGCAAGTGTCGTTAGCTCAACCCCTCCGGTTGCGGAAACCAAGGACGGGGTGACGCGTGAAACACGGCCAACCCCTATCAGACCCCAAGGGGCTCAGGGGCTCGAGCCGTCCGATCCTAGATCGAGAGACCGAGGTTCAAAGGCTAGCCCGTAAAGGGCCCGAGGCCGCCTCACGTCGAACAAGAGCCAGGGAAGAAAATGCAGATGAGCCTCAGTGGCCTTCGCTCAACCCGCATAGAGGCGGATAGGGTCATCTCAACCTTCTTGTTCAATCCAACCTCTAGCCAAGCCCATAGAATCCCCATTGAGGGGGAATCTGTTCGAAGGCGGGTTAAGGACCAACGGAATGCCACCCGAGGGCTTTGCCGACCCAGCAGACAACGTTGCGAACGACGCGCGACTCATGGGCCGGCCCAAATACCTAAACGACAGGCCAGAAGGGCGACCCAGCCTCCAACCGGAAGGCCTGGCCGAGGAGGAACGGCGCCCGCTTCCGACTCCGGCCCGCCTCTCCGACCGGAAGGCCTCGCTTCCGACTCCGGCCCGCCTCCGGACGGCCTCTCCGACCGGAAGGCTTGGCCAAATACCACTTCCGAGGTCGAGGCGCCGAGCGTGAGGCCGCGAGCGCCGGACGGCCGAGCACCACGCCACCACGGGCGAAGCTCCTCCCTCTGCTCGTCCAAATCCCCGCGCCCCTGCGTCTGAATTCGGCTCGTCCTGCCCTGATCCATCCCCTCCTCCGCTTCCCAGCGATGGGCGGCGGCTGTGTCTGCTGCGGTGGCCCCTCCTCCGCTTCCCCCGCCGTCGGTGTCGCCATGCATGGCCATTTCGAGGCTCGCCACATCCTCCTCCACCTCCCCTTCCTCGGCCCCCTCCGAGACGGCGTCCACGTCGGTCGCTAAGACGGTGAACGGCGCCCACCACTTTAAGATTGCGAGCTACTCCCTCTCCAAGGGGATCGGGTGGGGAAGTTCATCGCCTCCGAGTCCTTCAATGCGGGGATGGCGCTGGCTACCTCTCGCTATGTTGGTGAGGCACGGGAAGGTGGGTGAGGAGAAGGTCACCGAGGTCAGGTGGTTCCTCGACTCCAGTGCGGTGCCCGGCGTGCCTGCTGGACCACCCAAGTCGTCGGCTATTGCTAGGTGGGAGAACTTTGCGAAGAGGGCGGGGTTGGCCATGAACCCCATGGGGAGGAAGCTGTTTGAGGTGAGGGAGGTGAAGCAGAGCAACTTGTGTGTTACGGCGGATGTTGGGACAGCAAAAGAGCTACTTAAGCTTGCTGACGAGGTATACATGCCATTAGTTCTTGTGTTACGGCGGATGTTGGGACAGCAAAAGAGCTACTTAAGCTAGCTGACTCGTTTGCAAAAAGCATAAGCTATCATGAAGAAACCATTTTAAGTACTTTGCATCATCTTTATTATGACCTATCCATCTAGGTAAGCACCTATACTATAGCAATCACTTGATTAACCAATAACATCCAGTTACCAATTTAGATTTAGCATATCCCATACCATCCAGATAACCATCATTGTTCCATAATAATTACTACGATGCCGTAACTCGAGTCAAGTGCTCACTATCCAGGAGCGATGGCGATTCGAATCGATTCCTAACCAGCTGGTGATTTATTCCTTACACAAACCTCACTCACCCGCTAAAGTGAGATATTGATCACCGAGTCAACTATCCAGGAATCTCGAGTTTGTCAGGAACCACATGTACCCAGGGGCCGACCGACTGCACTTTGGTCTTATCATCTCGCCCCCGTGTCCTACCACACCTGCTCCGGCACAGTGCGCTGCGGGCTATCTACTCGGCCCGAATAATCTCCCAGCTTCACGGTCGGAAGGTACTTTATCCGGCCAGCTAAATGTAAGGCATGCGTTCAACATGACTCGAGGTCCAACAACGGACGGTCCTTAATCGACCTGAGCGAAACTAACAAAGCACCCGAGCCTGTCTCGGTTGCCTCCAACTTTTCCGTCCGGTCTCCAATTATCCATCACACATGGTTAATTCAGGATATCATTCTTTCCATAGCTAAATTCTTCCAGTAACCACCTATAAATGTAGGTGACCGGATATCACCGATCGCTACCGGTCTAAGCAAGGCTAAGCAGTTATTCGATCCCGACCTAATAGGGTAATAAGGTAATAAGGTAAGCAAGGATAATACTAAATGCATCAACGGTTTCAATCAACTCCTACAACTTAATGCAACAATATATAACTCATATATAGAAAGAATTGCTTTTATAAAGTAGGAGACTTAGAATGCTCGGGGCTTGCACAGGATCCGACACAAGTCGGGATTCAGTTAGCTTGCACCATCCTGGTGATATCACAGGTCCTAACACTTGCTTAGCCCTTCCACCTTCGGGATAGATCCATC